CATTTGCTGCCGGCAAAAATTATTTTCGATTCCATGCAAGGCCCTGGTAGAAGCGTAACATATCTTGATTTCATCGATTTTCATGATGGTCAATATTCCTGGGCATAAATGGGTTAAGGGGGGGGGGGCACTGCCAACTTTTGGTCCCATTCTTTCCATGCAACGCCCACAGGCCTAATGCTAAAATGCCAAAATCAAAGGGGGGCACTGTGCCCCGGTGCCCTCCCCGTTCCGCCGCCTATGCAGCTAAGCAAACAGCCATGAATTACGCAACTGATTTCAACTCCATGCAGCGGTAGACGATGATGACTTATCTCGATTCAGTCCTTTCCGGCAAATGTCCCATGCTGAATGCATTAGTTATACACAAATATCATCGTCCCTACGCATTCACGTAAATATGTGTGTTGGCACGGGCATCACTTTCCGAAATGTATCTGTAGGGCTCTAGTGGTCAATTTTACTTACCCATGCAGCACCATTGGGTTTACGAGTATGTTACAAATTTGAAAATATTGGTAGGAATCGGGCCCTCCCAAACCTATGCAAAACGACACCCATGTATGTTGAAGAAGGCTGTTTTTGACTGGAGTTATTGACTACTCGTTCGTGTTAGCCCCTATTTTCGCTCTGTAGATATCCCCTCCCCTGTTTGCTGGTAAGGTGACCAGCAGTTCCAGCAAATACAACGAGGGTCTAATGGACCGGGCGGTGACTCTCTCCCTTGGAGTGTTTGCCGACTCCTCCCTCTCTCTTCTCCCTCGCTCTACCCAGCCCCTCTCTTGCCTAGTTCAACCGAACAGGTGTGACAAAAACATGCAGTAGGAGTTGTCAACTTTAAAAACAAACGTTCTATATAGTTAGATCAATATTTTTCATACGGTATGTTTAGGTATTACGTGAGGTGATACGCAATAGAATGAAATCAAGTGTGTTTAAGTGTTCAATATGGTCTTCTTCCGTTCATTTTATGTTCCATGGTTTTCTCATAGCTACAGTGCTCTTTGCTTCTTCAATGCGTTTCCCACTACCTTGATACTGTATTCCTGCAGTTCCTCTCAGGACTCAGGTGCTTCCCTTTGCATCCTGGTTCTCCATGGTATTTACCCGATACTTACCGGGATGCATTCGGGTACTCCCTTCGCCATTTACAGACTTACGTCATATTTGTATGATGCATTGACTGTAGACTGTGGACTGTGGAGTGTAGAAGGAGCAAAGTAGTCGTAAGGACTAGAAGTAAAGTAGGATCATAGAAATGTAGATAAAATCATGGGCTCATGCATGCTCTTGCCATGCTCAACCTTCCACTATACTAGGCCGTCCACCAGGCTCCCTTATCTGAGGCTGTGGGAATCCGGTCACATCCAGCTCCGCCGGGGGTCAGTCTCGGTCATCCGGGGGTCACGCCGGTCATCCGGGGGTCACAGAGGTCACCCGGGGTCAGGGGGTCAGCGCGCGGCTAACGGCTGCTTCGTCAGGGGGCCGGCGCCGACACTAGCGCCGCCGAGCGGCCGCCACCCGAATTAGGGTCGTCATCTGCCCTGGGGCGACGCGGCCTAACGGGGCACAGCTGAAGTGGCCGACGGTGGCGGCGAGGGAGGCCACATTGGGAATTGGGATACATGGAGGGAAGAGTGCGGAGCGGAAGGTAGAGGAGTGGAAGAGTAAAAAAATTAGAGACAGGGGATTGGGGGGTGAGCTACGAAAGAGGCATGGACGTTGAGGTTGGGAAGTGGAACATTGAAGGTGGAGAGGGAAGGCATAGATAAATCCCATATCATAAATTTACAGTTGAATATATACAGAGAAACTAGCGGTTTGGGGATGGATGATTTGAATACACAAGTCACAACCGTGCTGAGGAGATGGATGAAAAGTTCTGCAAAGAGTATTTAGGTATGTATTGGGCGCTGTAATCCCATATCTTTATCATACACAAATTGCACACGGAATGTTCAACTTTTTGTGGTAGGGTAAGGTGCCTAATTAGCGACCCTTTCCGATTTGCGACCTACCTCCCTACAGAAAAACTGGCAGGAGAAAACGGGGTAAAAACATCGTCAAAGGGTCAGCCATACTTTGGTTATCAAAGTAAATTATTTTCCGGTCGTCGATGTTTCTGGTGGGACGTTTCAGGTGAGTTTAAATAAAAATGACGAGTTTCTTATCCAAAACGTGTGTGTTTGGGCCCTCTCTGATGAAAAGCGATGCACATTAGGATGATGCACCTTTTTTATTCTGAATCGACATTCCTTTTTCAATTGATTGCCGTTTTCCCATAGTGAATCGCTCAACTGTGCACAGCATGGCGGCTAAAAATGAGTCGCAACTCATATTTCCTATTTGCGCCTGACATGGTCGCAAATAGCTCAAGAAGGGAAAGAAAGGGGAAAAGAGAGAAATGAAAATGAGGTGTTGCTGAAGCTTGCAATGTGTGGCAGGGGATGCCAAATGTCATCACCGACTGCAGGGGTGCCGAATTCAGCACGGACCTCGAATATCATACGAGATAGCCCGCAAAATTTGGGTTTCTGCCTTCTTTTCGCCTTCGGTGCATCACGTGATCAATTTTTCCTTACGTAAATGTGTTGGATAAACGTCCCTGTTCGAGTGATTGAGTGCTTTGCGTATAGGTTACCTTTTTGAGATCATATTTCATCTTTTCAGGCGTCGCATTTTTTGCCATTTTTAATATGGGGAAACCCATAGACTTATTAGCGACCCTCCCCGGTCGCTAATCGGGAAGAGTTCCCTATTAGCGTTTTTTGCAATGGGTTGCCAAAATGCTCACTACAAATAAGTTAGTGAATATTGGGGCAAAAAATGACTATATTTTAATAGAAAAATGAACGATCTCTCCGAAAATCAAGCCAGTAATACAGTGGCACCCACAGAGCGTGAGCAATGACGGTTCAAATTAAGGGGGTCGCTAATTAGGCACCTTACCCTATTTTTATCAACAAATGTTACTTCCTCAGCAAAGTCCTTCAGTCACCAGCGTCGAAGTTAAAAACCAAACAGATATACCGATCACATGACCACCGTGCCTGACCACACCACCAGGTCACGTGATCGGCCACCTGTTTCCCAGCTGCGGCTGTACCGTGACGATCCGTTTTTTCCCATAACCGTACTCGGGGCACCGGCCGGCCGGCCGTCTAAATTGAAATAAACCGTACTCTGCGGCCGATGCCTCGAGGCCTTCCAAGCGGCGGTCCATGTAGGTGAACGACCTAGCTGGACAGGGAGGGGGAGGGGTGACGGAGGGGGTCATGTAGAGTCCGGAGGAGGTAGAGGATGAGAGGGGCGGACGGTAGAGAGGCTGGGGTCGTGGTGGACGGTGGCTCAGAGAGCGGCAGAGAAAGAGAGAGGGATGGAGCGCTGAAAAGGCAGAGTTGGAGGATGGCTGTTGCCATGGTCCCACGGGGCAGTGGCGGATCCAGAGAAGATTTCGTGTGGTTGCTCCTCTGTATCGTCGGATAGGTATAAGGTGCATTTGTCATTTTCCTCTCATACAAATTATACTATTTTATCTTACAAAGCTCACCTTTTACACATCAACCCATAAGCATGCAAATTTCGCATGTTTTGGTTTAGAGATACCCATGGAAACACTTCGAGAATTTTTCACCCTAAAAGCCAATAATTCCACCTTTCCATGTTGTACCAAAGTTGAGCTCGGGATAGCATAGTTCGAGCGGCTGTGTAGATCACCAGAGGTAGAACAGGCGGAGCGGGTGTATGATTGTGGGTGTTGGTGTTACGTTTCTATGCGACACTGCAGTCTCCGCCCGACCACCCACCGTCCCGACGGACGTAGAGATGCAAATGGGAGTTCCGGGAGTGTCAACACACTGTGGAGGTGCACACTGTTCTGTATGCACCTCAACCCGTTCCACTAAATAAGGTGTTTCCTTTTCTTCCATACCCGGTGTAAATGTTACCTGATGTAACTATCACCTTTTACGAAATACCCAGTACCCACGTTAGGTATTGCCTTCAACGGCTGTGTAAAGAACACGTCCAAAACGGATCTGCAATATGTTAACAGGTCATGGGTTAGCTGGGTCTTGGGTAAGCATCTAACGCACCTTCCACATATCGAACTCTTATGTTTGTCATAAGATGTTTGTCAGTCAATCATCAGTTAGCAGGGTTCACAAATGGTTTCGTCAGCGCTTCTCTAGTCCCCCTTACCTAGCGCCTATTTAGAGTCCCCTGCCGTGGCCCCCGTCTCTGACGTCATTGGTCCGTGTCTGTGACGTCACAGGGGGTGCGACGCGGAGTCGGGGGCCGATGACCTCCCCCATCCCCTCCCCCTCCCCCCGGCCGCCGCAAGTCACTGGCCCGCGACCGAGGGGAGGGGAGGAGGGGAGGAGGGATGGTCACAACTCAAAGGGATACAGTTGGCTGCTGAAGCGACAAGACGCTAGCTGCCAATAGGACAGGACTTTTGACGCCTTATAAAAGCAGCTCGTGGGATTTATATGCTAATACTTTTTTTTGCAGTTTTTAAAACCCGTCAATGCATTTAATGACCTTCTGGTGAATAGTGCAAGTCATGCTGTTGACAAAAATAAATTCCCTAACTGAAAATCGTCTGAGACGGGTTTGGCTCTGACTGTCTTTTGAAGATTCGACCTTCGGTCCCTGGTGCATATCGTAGTGGGCTTGTAATCCATTCGGTACCTCTGATTCGTTTAAATTCATGCATTCTCATTTATTCCGTTATTATGAGACGGCCGGTACCTAAGCTGAATTCGAGATTGATTCTATTGTTTTTCACATTCTGATACATTTGTCCATTCATTCATTTCAATTCATTCGTTCATTTCCATTAGTTCTTTTCAATTCATTCATTCATTTCAATTCATTCATTCATTCATTCAATTCAGTATCGCTATATTTTCAGTTTTCATAGACTCACATCACGTCAGATTTGTTGGTGTTATTCTCGTATGTCCTCGTGCAGTCTCCAATGCATTTCTCGTCTGCCGCAGGTGCTGCCATCTGTAATCGGTCATGACCGACGAGGGCGACGCCTACCGGCTAAAATGGCAAACTCACGTGCCCAGCTTATGCACGGAGTTCATGGAGTTACGAAAGAACGAGAGCTATGTTGACGTCACTCTTGTTTGCCGTGGAGGGCAGATCAAAGGTAAGATCCGGCGATATAAAATGTAAGAGTTGGTAAGATCAAAGGCGTTTAAAAGGTGCAAAATGTGATTGTAAAAATTACAGCAGATAGGAATATTTTTTACTAGTGGAACATCCCGATCAATTAGTTGAATATTTAACTTATGGCTGCAAAAAGAGCAGCTAATCAAGTATTTATTAGGACTCTAAGGAGCCTCGTTTTGTTTTGCACTAACAATTGCCCTTTTGGAAAAGAAAGCATTACCGGCCCGATGAATTTACGTTTGAACCGCCTTTCATTGCGTCTGCATACCTATTACCTACACAACCACCGGCATGTAACTAAGCCAATATTTAGGATAATGATAGCAACTCAAAGATAAAAAGGTCATTCTCTAGCTCAGGATACTGACAAATTACATGCTCTGATAGTCTGCTGAAGTCGTGACTCATCATAAGATAATTGTTGACCACGCTTTTGTTTGATCTTATGTCGCCGTCTGTTCTACAGCACATCGTCTGCTGCTGTCATCATGCAGTCCACTGTTGGAGCGACTGCTAGCAGCCAATCAGGAGCCAGAAGCCACGCTCATCCTGCCCGACCTGCAGGTAACCATGGAAATCGTCATGTCTCGCAGATAGGTATCATGCTCATAAAGTTGTTGACTTTTACTTGTGCGCTGCTCGCGGTTATCAAGCAAGCGTTAATCTAGGTCATCTATAGGTCGTCTAGGTCATCTAGGTCAAATTTATGTTTTACACGGCTAAAGCGATATTGATTTTAGTCGATAACAATGTTTTGTCACATTTCTGACGCTTTTCGACTGAATTACTATCTACCATTCACTCCCTCTCTTCCTTTGTGTCTCTGTTCGTTCGTTTCACCCATTCTCCCCAAAATATCCTATGTTCACACTCCAATCGAGCGTTTGTCTACTCCCCAGATATCCTGTGTGCGTTCTCTAATCGAGTACGTATACACCGGTGAGATATCTGTAGCTGATTGTGAGATAGACGGACTGGTGGAAGCGGCTACCATTCTTCAGGTTCGAGGGATCGCGATGGCAGGGCCGCCTCGGGCGCCTCAGGTAAGTCACGAAATCACGAACGGTTGATGCCTGTCTTTCAGATACCGGCTTTAGATACTTATCGGATGTTTGTTGTATCATGTATGATCACTGTGAGGTTTATAGCTTTTCATAATAAAAATATGAATTCATAAGGAATCTGCCGTCTGTTTGACTTTTGGTTTTTGCCATTTTCACCAATTTTGTAGAACTGACATTTGTATTCTGTGAAGTCTCAAGTTTTAAATTTCTCGTCATTGCGTCTTTCCATTTTTCAAATCAAAATTCATTCAGTCATTTGGCATTTTGGCTCTTCCAAATCATCTCTGAATTATTTCCTTTCCACATGACATTTCAGTGCTTTATCTCGCCTGCGTGTTGGCAATGTGTGACGTCATCTGTGCTTTCCACAGCGTCCGACCAGCCTGCCTCTGCCACTGCCGTTCCTCTTCACACCGCCGGTGACGTCACCACTGATGACATCACCCATGATGACGTCACCGGTCAAATCTCTACTACGGCGAGCAATGACGTCACCAGTCCGATCATCACCTACAAAACGACGACGGAGCTCGGGAGAGAGTGAGGCAGAGCGGCGGAGGAGCGAGGCAGAGCAGAGGAGGAATGAGGCAGAGCAGAGGAGGAATGAGGCAGAGCAGCGGAGGAGCCGTCCTCGGGAGGAATCACCGGCTGGGCGCTGCTCCTCGCCTCTGTTTGTGGTGAGTTTAGAGAGGATGTGAGAGGAACATGGTGTTCCTTCCAACTGTTGAAATAATCGAAAACCGTTATTTGATACAAGCTTAATATTTCTGACCGTAAGTTTACGACAAAGGAATCATTTCGTTAACTAATTTTTTAAATATAAATATACCTATACCAGCCACAAATCCTGGTATGATTCCATGTGTTATTACATCATAACATGTACCAAAAAAGCTAAACAAGAACTTTGGAACCCGATTTGTATCAAATATCGTTCTTTCTCAAAGTTTAAGAACGCTCATATTACCAAGAAGCCTTCGCTAAAATGGCCGAAAGCTTAGGCTTGGGTTTACAAAAGAAAACAATTCTAACGAACAATGCTTTTGGTTATCGGACATAAACCTTCCGTTATTTTACTTTGACATAATTTCAGGTATTGAATTAACCCTCGCCGGCACAGGCTATTTGACGTCCTTCGACGGCACAAGGGGGGGGGGTAGGTACGAACCCCCCCCCTCGCGTTTGGCCCCTGATCTAACTAGAGCTTCGCGGAAAAAACGAGCGTGTTGCCCGTCACGAGAGGAAGCCGACGATACCCAACTTTAAGGTCCTAGGTCATCGGGTGACCTCTTAGGTCAGGTCAATGACCCGGAAACCGGGAAAATCGGGACCTGTTAGAAAGTCGTAAAGTGTGGCTGCTATGTGGTTTTCCGGGGTGCTGAAAACGAATATCGTGTTAGTTTTGATCAGAGATGATGTTTTTAAGCATTTAGACCAGGTTGGGTCAGGTCAGGTCAGGTCAACCGGTAGGGGTTGTGACGGGTATTCGTAATACGTGTCAACCGCCTCTGACAGCTTCGTAACATGTTACGAAGGCACCAAAACTACTTCGTAAATGTTCAAATGGTTGATAAATTCGAATTCAGCTCCAAAAACTAGCCTAGAAACATGTAAAACTCGAAAAAGTGAACCGAGGTCACCCGAGGTCACCAAAGGTCAATGACCTGACCTGACCTTCAGGTGACCTTGACACCCACCCTAAAGTATGGGAGCAACATCAAATCACATGTTTGAACGTTTGAAACCACGAAAAGCTTGCAAACGCGCGGCTAATGCGAGCCGACATACGCCGAATCGCGATTTCGGCCAAACATGGTCACGGAAAAGAGGTCATAGGTCAAAGGTCATTGGGGTCAGGGTCATGAAATTTTCAGGGTAGGTGTGAAATTGATCAATGCGAGGGTACTGAAAGTTTCGTCGCGATCGGCCGCTTTTTACGCGAGTTATTCGCGAAAAAAACCTTAGGGGGGGGGGCTGCATCAACCCTGTGCCGGCGAGGGTTAATTTCATATAGGTATTATTTTTCATACTCCTGATAATTTGACATAATTTCTCGCTCGTGTTCCAGGACACCGATGACGCCGACGAATCCCGTAATCACAGCGGCAGCGGCTCCGACGGCTCTGACCAGGTGACGTCACACGTCACCACCACGTCACAGGACGACTGTGTGACGTCATGTGTGACGTCACAGATGGCCAGCACGTCTCAGGGCTCGGATGGAGACCAGTCTGATCCAGAGACCAGTCTGCTGAACCCACAGGTACAGTCCGAGGAGGATAAATTCTGACTTTTAGTTATCAGTTATGAAACTCGCTATGAAGTGTCGGGCAAGGTGTATATTCTGACACTGCGGGCTAATAAAAAGTTTTCACACCTATCCGTGCTTCTATCCTCAGGATACTGAAATCCTTCTCCTCCACGCCGCAACCCCCCTCCGGGCTGGACAGGCAAATTTATCTCATGCGGGCTGCTCCCTTGGAGCGGCACCACTGCTCCTGAGGGAGCGCACCCCGTAGCCGGGTGCAGTGAGTGCCTTGGGGCTGGGTGGCCTGTCCTTGGACGGGCTCAGCCCCGGCGACTCACTAGGGTGCCTGCCCAGACCAATGTCTCCCCCTAATTCCTATCATCCTTCCGGCTCTGCAATGGTCTTGTCGACCGAAAGGGCCTAACCCAACAAAACAAACAAACAAAACAAAATAAAAAGTAGAATTCCTTATTTGCGTATCGTTACTCAGTCTCATCAACTTGAATCATATCTAAGTTGAAACGGTCTCGTCCTGAAGCATAGATTCTGTAGATGATATTGTTTTGAACTAGCTGAACTATTTTGAACTTGAACATAAGCGTAAAAAATATGCTAATAAATAAGCCGAAGTATGTAGGAAATCACACTGAAGAAATCATGCTCCTGTAGGTATGTTTTCTGGTTACATCCTTCACTAACATCACATGCTCATTGCTCTGTTTTTAGGTGGAGCTCAGTGAGGGCGAGGGCCGAGTCCGGGTCAAAACGGAGGATATGACGTCACCAATGACGTCACCGGTACTGGAGGCTACTGCGGGAAGCTGCGTGTTCTGCAAGAAGCACTTTGTGAGCGCCTCTGATCTGAGGGATCATATCAGCCGAGTGCATGTCACCGATCGGCTGGAGAAACAGTTCAAGGTCAGTTCAAGGTCATCAAGTGGTTGAGTGAATTGTTGAAGGTCACTTCAAGACCGACTAAATAATCCACTCAAGAGTATCGCAAGCTGGTTGGTGACGGTCTGTCTCGAGAGGGTTGTATTTCAATTTTATAACTCGAATGTAGTATAAGGTCACCGAAGTCCTTTAGACGTAGATCAAGGTTTATTCAAGAGCGCCTTGTTCCACAGTCAAATTGCAAGTTACAGTATCATCTGTTGATATTACAACCTGCCCGTTGCGACAGCCCCGATATTATCTGTTCTAACAAAGTCAGGCAATCGTCTGTTGCAGGGTTGTGCTTGGCTCATGAGTCGAGTCAGAAATTTGACTCAACTCTGACTCAAATGAGTCAGATTTGAGTCGAGTCGGATAAAATGTTGAGCTGTTGAGTTGAGTCAGAGTTGAGTCGGACAAAAATATTAAGACGTCGAGTTGAGTCAGAGTTGAGTCAGTAAAATAGCTTTTGACATTGAGTTGAGTCAAACATCCCCCCCCCCGCTTAACAACTTAGCCTTGGCCCTGCTGCTGGAATTTTTTTTCACCCCTCCCCCCGCTCAACAACTTTTTTATCTGAGTCAATTTTGAGTCAACTCAGTTGACTCAGCAAAAATTGAGTCAAGTTTGAGTCAACTCATATTTTCATTCAGACGCTTGAGTCATGAGTCGAGTCAAGGGAAAATATCAGCTCCTTGTTTGAGTCAGAGTTGAGTCAGGGCTTTCTGAAGTTGAATGATGAGTTGAGTCGGCAATTTTTTTTTAGTCGAGCACAACCCTGGTCTGTTGTTACAATTCGAATGTGGTCTCTGGCAAATATTGTCTCTGGCAATCTGGCGAATGCTGTCTCTGGCGAATGCTGTCTCTGGCGAATGTTGTCTCTGGCGAATGTTGTCTCTGGCAAAGACAGTTGTCTGTTGTAATAATTCTACTATTATCTGTGGTCACAGTGCGACTACCGATTGCTATAACTAACCAACTTTTATCTCTCCTCCAGTGCGACTACTGCCCGGCTGCGTTCGCCCGCTCGGCGCACCTGAAGCGCCACGTACGAACACACACCGGAGAGAGGCCGTACGCCTGTTATGTCTGCCCTCGAGCCTTCAGTCGGCAGGATAAACTGAAATGCCACATGGATAGACACACTGAAGAGGAGAGGCGAAAGGCGCAGGTATGTGATGAGTTTGATCTTTCTGAGTATTCGTGACATTGTGTACAAGGAGAAGACCAACGCTTTCCTATCAATTTGTGGTTCGAAAGAGAGCATTTGGTTGAAGCGGGTTGACGTTTTATTATATGGCATTCAGTATCATGCTCACAAATGTTGTCTTATCCGTGTGGAGATGGTGCATGAAACCTTTTAACCCTAGAACGCCTGGGGGGGGTGTATCAACCCCCCCCCCCCTGAGGTTTTTTCGAAGTGCACGCTAAACGGCTTGTCGTAGTGGGCTGAAATTTTCAATACCCTCTGGGGCAACCTTTGCGCATCTTTTGCCGAAAAAAAATTGATCAGGTCATGTCAGGTCACGGAGTTATGACGTCATAAGAGGTACAGCCTCCGGCCGACAGTTACCAAACGTGTGCGCCGAATCCCTAGGTTTTCTGCCGGTGATACCCACATTGTTTGATGGATCATGATGAAACTTCCCATGCATGTTGGGGCAAGCATTGGCTATCGTGTGGTGCAAGAAAATTGACCGGGTCAGGTCAGGTCACGGAGCTATGACGTCACAAGAGGAACAGCGTCCGGTACTATTTTTGAAAAGCGCCCGAACTACTATTTTGCTAATTCTTGTCACCTCAATGGGAATATGCAGCAATATTAGCTTCTACAGGGAGCAAATGGACCTCCCAAATCCAAAAATACAATCAGATTTCAAAAATTTAAATTTTGATTTTTCGAATTTCTGCCGCCGACTGTGACCTTGCCGACTTCCGGCGCTCCCAACGCGCCATTTTTAGAGCTAGGGAAACGAAATACATACCAAACGATAGAAAATTGATCAAGGAACACGATAGTGAAGGTTTCAAGTCGATATCTCCCACCGTTTTGCCGCAATCGCCGCGGAAAGTTGAAAAAGTTTGATTTTTTTCGGAAAATTTGACCTTTGACCGGTCATAAGTAGGTCAAATGTTGACCTAGGACCAAAAAATATACCACCAATCGCGAGATCTCGTTGAGAGCAATCCGTTGGTTTTTTCCGCTAAGCTCTACGACCTTCCGTTTCGAAACGCCAGGGGGGGGGTCGTAACAACCCCCCCCCCCTGGTCGTTCGTGTTATGAGAAATGGCCTGGTCGTGCGAGGGTTAATGTGGTTTGCTCGTCGCACCACTTGGAGTTATCATCATCGTTGCATGTGACACTCTTTGTAATAGCACGGCCCTCGAAGTGTTTTATTGTGTGTTCTGCTTTGTGCAAGACTTTATCGCACCATCATATTTACTTACATCTCTGTCATCCTACATGCATGCGCATTCCTCGCTGCGTCAGTCAGTTTCTGGAGCTCTCACCCAAGTCTTCTTGAATCGCTCGGGCGGAGCAGGGGATATGTCATGTTCCTCAGTCCTGGCGTGCGTTTTATGCTTGAACCGACATCTACCAAAAGTGTACATATGAGTGGTGCTTCGGAGAGGGTATATATAAGCATGTATGCATGTAAGTGTACCCCACTTTATCTGTGACGGATTTGTCCGTTATTACTTATTAGTATGTCACTACTTCGCTTCACCTGTCATTGGGCATACACATGTTGTTGATTGTTGTAAATACAAGAAAGATAAGGATGTCGTCAAGTTCTTCTTATAAAACAAGGATTTACCTTTTACCCGCATGCTGATGCAAAACTTTGTGACCTGCTACATCATAATTGTTTTTGCTTGCGCTAACCAGCACGTACTAGCATGCTTCCTACCACGCGCTAGTAATGTCACCAGCCTGTGAACACAAGTGACGTTACCAGTTTGCTATATACCACTCGCTGGTGTCATAATTCTGTACCGTTGCCATTTACTTATGACGTAATGACACGGTCACCACCTGCTGTTTCTAACATCATCACCGTATCGCCATCTCTCACTTATGACAATACGTTTGTCTCGTTACCTTTCATAATGACGTCATTTTTTCCATTTCTCCTTCTCACCAATGACGTAATTATTTCTTTTTCCAGACACCGGATGGCTCATCTCTACCCAGCCCCACCAGCAGCATGCAGAGCTACCTGCGCAGTCTCAACCCGGCCGGACTGGCGCTTCTATCTCCCCAGCCCCAAGCGCCGCCACAACCAGTGGCCTCCTCATCTGCCGGACCAGACAACCCGTTCATCTCCAGACCTCAGACGTCAGCCGCTGGAGGAAGTCAAGGTTCCTCCGCCAACCCAGGTCTGCCTTACCTGCAGAATATCCTAGATGATGTGCAGATAGTGAGGGATAAGCGTCCAGCTTCTTATTATAGGACGGGGAGACGCGCTGCGGCGGAGACGCTCCTGGGAGCGGTGAGGCGGCTGGGAGAGTGCTCGGTGAAACTAGCTACGCCAGTGGAGTGACGTCATTTTGAGGGACGTCACACTTACCTCGGTGTGATGTCATCGGTGGGATGGTACGTCACCTGAATGACGTTGGTGTGACGTTATCCGGTGGTTGGATTTGAGACGGCAGGGTTGAGAGGTGAACGATGGTTTATTCGCACTAATCAATAGTGCAAATAGTGTGGGCGGCAGAATGCACCCTTGTGGTATCCTTGGGGCATTATTGAAAATAGTACAGAAAATGGCACACAACTTTTTGTTGCACCGGAGGTAATTGGCAGAAAAACTGCAGGAGCTAAGATGCTACCGATCAGCACGCCAAAAAAGCTCGTTTTCTTGGCGGACATTTTTGTATTCAACTAATGCTAACCGTGTTTATGACTGACGAGACGCCACTGATGAACTGACCGTTACTCATGAGGGCATCACTGAAATTGACTGGCATTCTGGGCTGAAATGCTGAAATTCTACCCAACACACCAGTGTGTGGCATTCATTCCATAACGCAGCTTTAGCCGGACGTCTGACAAGTATGTCAGTTGTTGGATGTTGTGCTTTTTTGGAGTGTGCTGTTTTGATTGGTGATGCTGTTTGAAACTGGGAGTTTTTGCCTCTTGATTTGCTTACTCAGACAGAGCATTATGTCTGCTATGTTGTTATTTAGTAGTATCAACTCCTGTCCCTTGTTACCCAGTTAGAGGCTATCCAAACGTTCATGAATATTTTTCGATCTCCTCGCTGCGAATGGCGATGTCCTTTATCTCAGAAGAAATCAGCTTTACTTTTGTCAACTGCTCATTGTGTATTTCTCATGATTTGTTTTCTGATAACCTTCGTTAGAATGATGTATGTCATCCATGCTTATATGCACTAGCAAGCCGCGTTACCAAGCATTGTGAATGATGCGTTGACGTTGGTAAGCTAGCGTGCACACGGATATGGCTGGTTAAGAAACTCAGATACAGTTAGTGTTGTGCATTGTATAGTTACCCCGTCCCTTGTGTATTTCCCCTGTTTGTATCGTAGGCCAGTTAAATGGCAGCCAGACTGGCGTGCCAAATGCGTGCTCAAACAAGCCTTGAGGGCATTCTCTCAATTTCGGGACCAGTTTCATGGAGGAGTGACCGGTGCTCCCTCCTGATGACGTTCCGGTGTCTCTTTAGAACGACATAAAAACTCCCTTGAGAACTCGAGTACCGTTGTACTATTGTATCGGTGCGCATAAGTACTGATGGACGGTTCTCAATGGGAATGATATAGACACGGCCAACCGAACTTGTACCGTAAGTAATGTAGCTAGAGTGATACTCCATGTCGACACGAGCCAGATATAGATGCTATGCTAGCCTGTAATTCTGACTGTTGTAGTTTCTCGTTGGCATTCTGTAACATGGCGGAAGCTGTTGCAGAAGTCCTAGACCTCCCCCGGTGCAATACGCGTTTTCTGTACATACATAGCTCTATTTATGTTTATGGGTATTAGCATACTTCGTTGTGGGGTTAAATGTTGCGCAATGTACAAGCGCAGAAACTGATTGTGACGTTGTTTTTGTAGCAGGTTGTGTTGCGCCTAGTTTTGTTACATCGCGCGGGGTTTGCTGGCTTTGGGTCTGTTCTCAGTTTGTTCTTCTATTCTGGTGGACGGTTGCTCGTGAAGTTGTATTGCTGGTTGACTGGTATCAGTAGACTCGATGTGGCCCCTCGCATAATTCTGCAGGTTAAGATAAGTTAGAAATGCATTCACTCTGTGAATTCCAAGTGGTCAGTAAATGACATTAGGTATGTTACAGTCTGTTGGAGACTTTAGCAGTTTCTGGCAGTCCAATTCAGTCAGTAACAGTTGTGGCATTTTGTTTGATAACCTGCAGGGCTCCTGTTGCTGTCTGCCCTCGGTTGTTGTTTCAACTTGGGGATACCTTACTGAAGAGAATGGTGCTTGGTTGACTTTTTTAGTTTGGAGCATTTGTGTGTTGGACGATACGAGTAGAGAGTCTTTTGGACGTTGTGTGCGCTGTAGCGTTGTTTTTCCTTCTACTCATGGATAGGAGACGGATGTGGGCATTTCCTGTGTTAGAAATATTTCTACGTGTGGATGACGTAGCATTTGTACCAATACAAGTTTTCTACGGACTTGTTTTCTTTCTAAGCTTCTAATATAGTTGAATTTGTCTATCGACAAGAAGTATATGGTGCGTATAGATCAGATAATAATCGAAGTTTAGACATGCTCGCAGATATATGCGCAATATGTTTTTATGCTGCAAAGATATATGATATGTGGTAAAAATAGCACTCCGCTCCGAACATCTTACGAAAGTGTATGGGACATAATGGGCAACGCATCCTTAAACAACAAACTCAAATGTTTCCACTAAAGAAGTTTCCTCTGGAGGTCCCGCTGCAAGAAGACACTAAATACTGAGCGTTGCTTTTATTACCATATACGTGCAATAAGCGCGGTCACCCATCGGACATAAATATACAAGGCAGCTGCCGTTCAGCGGTATGACGTCACACGAAGTCACATAAGTGACGTCATATTCAGACGGCTGGCAGCTACCGACATATGTCGGCCTTTGTCGCGACGGTGAACTGAACATCAAACATTTTCGCTGGGCTTTTTCGCTGGAGGGTAGCTCCACGACACCTGACGAGCGCACACAGCGTCACGACAATCGTATCGTCACGATAATCGTATCGTCACGATAACCGTCACGTTACGACCGAACGTAACGAGAGGCGATACATGTTATACAGGCGTTACACACACAGACTTGCATACAGCAATAGCACATAATACTACTCGTAGACAGCAGCTTTTTGCAGTGCTTTGTTCAATGAATGCAGGATAGCATTGTCGGATATCTGACTAGAGAATAAATTCCTTGGATAATAGCAAAGATCGTATACGGTTTACGATGAGAGAGTACACCTTAAGGAAACGTTAAATCCAGATAGCAACAAGCACACGGCCATACAACACGTTCTAAGCTTCAACTGAAAATGCATCAATTATGAATCACTTGGACTTTAGGCGACGCTTCCTCGAATCCTGGCCTTTCGGTTGGCACCCACTGGACGAAATGTTTCCATTTATTACAGTTTTCGTTGAGAACGCACAACATCGACCCCAATTCTTACGGCTTTATCCTTCTCCAACTGACGTTTTATCCACGATGGCGTAGTAAAATCGTTCGCTACAGGTTCGTCGTCACATAAACCTAAGGGGCAACAAAGGACGTGCATAGTACACATGTTTACATGCCAAGGGTCTTGCCCCTTCATGAAGAATCAAGACATGTACCAGCGCAACGTCGAGTTGCAGTATTTCTTTGGTGTAAAATGAGATCAGTATTTTATGAGCCTGACTTGTCGCGTTATGGCTCTTCTAGCTCCTTGGCTCCACAGCTAACCATGGTTGCACTGCTCATCATAGCTTAAGGCTCACCATTGCTCCATGGCTCACCATGGCTCCTCCTGTATACAAGCCCTATACCGCACTGAGCTACAAGGCTGCTCAGTGCACGTCATCAGCTTTCTCAACCGCGACTTGTGGTTGGAGATCGTATCATCGTGAAATCTGCACGCAACGTAGATATCAACCTCATCCTCACATCAACCCCGTAGATAAATGCAATATCGAACGAGCTTCGTCACATTATCGCTGCAAAAGGGCTGTTCAGCGCTGTGCTGCCGTTGCTAGCGCTTACATTGTCAGCAGCTATAAGCAGGTTCATCAGTTGCGGTGCTCACAACCTTATGCTACCAGGAAACCTTACCCCTGTCCCATTTTATTCTTCAAACTTCAAAGCCTATTGACTTACCCCTTGAGGATTATCTTACCCCTTCTTTCAACCCAATGACTTTTCCCTTTTGGCTTCTCTACATCTGGTTACATAAGTCTTCGCCAATGGTAAACACAATACACAGTCTTACTTGGCATATTTCGTCATCACTACCTAAAAAGATGACGTCTATACTGTTGTATGCATTATGACGTCATCAGTGTAGATGTAGGTATTGGCGATGTCAGAAATACTGCTGTGGCTTTTTGCATGACGTCACTAGCGTTGCTTATTATGCTTATATAGCTGCATCATTGGTGTTGATTATATGTAAGTGACGTCACTGTTGTCGCTGCTAGTTATGTGACGTCACCACGACTTTTGACACATCTGTATGACGTCACTGTTGTGTTTCAGCGAGGGGGTCTAACCAAAGTGTAATGCCAAGCCCCTGGAGCCCAGCAACCTCACAATTCTCCGTCTGGGTATCTCCATTGAGAACCAGCATTCTGTCTCCGTCGGCGGCCGATAGATGTCTCTGGAATCGGCCGGCCGAGTATAGAGGGCGCTCCGGTCGGCCCCACAGTGGAGAGGTGCGTCTGGGTCCTCCACGACTGCCGACCGATGTGAGGATCTGTACCTGACCTGGAAATGTGATACAAAGTGGTCAGATTTGGTATGTGTCCGAGAAATATGACACGCAGATGTGATAATAGACGCGTTTACATAATATGACTTGTTGCAAGCTTATATCTCCGTCGTGATATTGCAAAAAATGCGAATGGTGCTTTACAATTTACAAAATTATCGTCACTAAATATGCAAAGATCACTGCATCGCAATTATCGCAAAATAAATTAGCTTGAACCTCGTCAAAAATGCTATTTAAACGCGACTTATGTCGCACATGTAGGTGTCGCAACGACAATTTTTTAGTGACCAGTAAGTATAGTCACCTTTTTACCGCATAGAAGCGCCATCTATACCATCTATATTCTACACAGTGGCGCCACCTTTTTACCCGCCATAACCAAATATTTACCTGTACTCAGATCGATGAAAACAACTTCCGGCACGCCAACTGCCGTGGCGTACAGATCATAACCGCGACCGGTGCGGCTTGGATGGAACGTGACGTCGCTGATGTTGAGTGGAGTGCGGACGTCAAAGGCAAACTCCAGGCCACGACCTGATGGCACATCAGGGGGGGGGGTGTTAGTGAGATTGATAATAGCTGTTGTTGACGAAAATAATGTGATGAAACATCAAAAACGGCATTTGACGTGCTGTGGATGACGAGAGATTCAACGTAAAAAGATGTTGTCCGCTATACAGCAAGTTTTGGAAAATTTAGACCAAACAGCTAAGTTTTAACTCATCCACAAGATCCAAAGTCCCGTCATCTGCACTGCACCCCAAAACCCTTTGACATAAATCGCAGCACCGTTCTCTTTTCTTAAATCTTCCTTCTTCCATCGCCGCTTCTTCCTTCCCATTACAGCCTGAGTAGTCCCAAAACATCAATTTCAATATCTTTAGCATCTCATGTCACCCTTCTTTTACCTGTGAGTCTCTGGACGGCCAGAGTGGTGACGTCACCGGATCGTACAGCCGTGACGTCATTAGTTCTCTGCACGGTTACACAGGTTTCAGAGTCCGGAGTGAGGTAGGGTTCTCCCAGTAGACTTGGCTGAGCGCTGACGACTGTGTCCGTCAGCTGATCATACAACAGCTGACCGCTGTCTCGTGACGTCACCGGTTCTTGGCAGGAGAGTACCACGAACCCGTCTGTGGAGAGGTAAATAAATAGTTGATATTTAGGGATGTCAACTACAAACAAGGATTATAATTTTTCACCTATATGGGCAAGGAGGTAACCAGACTAATGTGGTTGCTGCTACAAAAAAAAATGGTTCCGTCTATCATTGACTATCAAGCTGGAATACAACTTTGCCACCTCTCATTGTCTGAGAACTAGGCATGGCGAATTTGGGAAAATTTTGCACATGAAACGTAGCAACTAAAATTTATAAGCTGAACACATGTGCACCTATGAGAGGCATGGTGATGAACAATAATATTGCAAGAATCCATCACATAAGCGCACTAAAATCACCTAAGCAGAACAAAGCAGTAGCATCACCTAAGCATCACCTAAGCATAGCTTAGCCCCACGAAATGAACTCAAACCACCACTCCACCAGCACTCACTGAATTTGGCAAACTGTGCCTTCTGCGGTACACAGTTGTAGGGCGTCAGGTCGACCGACTTGACGAAGTTCAGGGTCTGCATGTCGACTTTGAACATCCCGCGGTGGTTGCTGTGGGTGACGAAGCCGTAGCGGAACTTCTGGTCCGAGAACTGTCGGTCAGGGGCTAGATGTTAGATTGGAGTGTTAGAGGCTAGAACCAAAATGGCGGTTAAATGGCGCTTACAGGTGGTTAAAGTCAATACGTTATCACCTTTGTATGTAAGAAGTCAAATGACAAAATGGCTAGAAACATTGAGATGTTAGATGTTAGAGGTTATATTTTAGATTGGAGTGGTTGGTAAGAGTATGAAACAAGTGGCTAGGTGGCTAAATAAGCCTTGAAAGTGGTTTAGAGGCAAAAGGTTAGAATTGGCTAGGAACAAGCTCTCACAAGTTTTATATTGAGAGATCAGTCAGGGGGTAGAATTAATAAGTGAGAGTTAGATATGAGTGGTTGGAAACGAAAGACAGATCTGACTAATGGAAATTGATAGACGTTCACAGAATAACGCTACTGACGTAGAAATAACTGACGTGGAAAACGCTACCACTACATCGCTTTTCATACTGCTACTGACATTATCACACCTTCCATACTGACTTGACTACTGACTTTACCACATCACCACCACTCACATGTGCCGGAGGCAGCAGCATGTCCACCACCAGGTCCACGTGGTCGTTGATAGGCTGAAGGTGGACGGTGAAGTGACACCGCCGCTTACTGGCCTGACGTATGACCTCCACAGTTCGGACTCCGTGGTTTGTTTCTGTACGCCAGTTGAGCACCCACACCTGATGATGTGGAAAAAGGGGGGGGGGAGTTACTGGTCAGTCCTGGCATCGGTAGAGAAGATGGACTGCTGATGACGATGTTGGAAAGGAAGACGGAGGGGGTATTACCAGCTAGTCCTTAAATTGTTCGTGTGATAAATAATCAATCAGAAGCGAGATTCCAAATAGTGGACCTGGTATTACAAGGAAGAAACGCAACCATGCGTCGTGTAGTTATGAGCAACCTTGCAGCACGGTTAGCAATTTTTGACCTGAGATCTGTCTGCACGTCTGTCCCTTATTCTCTCTCTCTCAATCAATTTCCTTCATCCCTCCCTCTCCTACCCTCTACCTCCTCCTCCCACCCTCTCTCTCTCTCTCTGTACCTCCGCTCTTCCTCTCTCTCTCTCTCTTTCTCTCTCTCTCTCTCTCTCTCTCTCTCTCTCTCTCTCTTTCTCTCTCTCTCTTTCTCTCTCTCTCTGTCTCTCCCTCCCTCCCTCCCTCTCTCTCTCACTCGCTCTTTCTCCCCTTCCCTCTTCTTTGAGTTCATTCCTTCCTCTCTATCTCCCCCTCCCTCTCTCCTCTCCTCTTCCTCTTTCCCACCTGATCCAGATGCGGCACATACTCCAGCTTCACGGGCAGCTGATCCGTCTTCACCACGTCCACAACCAGCTGCTGCTGGCGGCTGACTACCAGAACACGCTGAAGACGAGGTTGACTGATGTAGACGTATGATGTGCCGACAGAGACGGCCGAGCCCCAGGTACAGGCGCGCTGCACACCGCCGCAGACGTACTCCTGGGAGAGGGGGGAGGGAGAAGAGGTGTCAGGGCACTCTACTGTTTCTCCTATAACATGAGAATAGTATGGAAAACATACCCCAATCTCAAACTGCTCCGGTTGTTTTTCAATGGAAAAACACAATTCTATCGAATAGTGTTTATCTATTTCAAACAACCTGCAGTTATTGTCGATAGACATTCTCATAGACGCATTCATGGAAGAAGAGTGAGAGGTGATGAAGTTAGATTCCTGAAGCGTTTCTCTTTGCCTGTGCCCTGTGTACTCGTACAGTACATTAGGTACAGACGCCGGACACAGTCGAAAACAAATTCCTACAGAAGAGGGAAGGACGTAAGGCCCATAAGGGAAGGGAAAGACAATAAGTTTAGGAAGGAGGTACTTTTTAGATCCACATACAGATCGTATTCCGAGGGAGGCAAGGGGCCGAAACCATATACTAATTACCATCAAATGCCATCACTAGACAGGGAGTAATGACACTTCAAACCGGAAAAACACCACTTCAGATCATAAATGCCACCATTACACACCGGAAATACCGCCACAACAGACCGAAAGTCCCGCCACTACAGACCGGAAGTACCATCACTACACACCGGATTTACCACCACTACAGACCGTAAGTACCATCACTAAAAACCGCAATTCCCACCACTACAGACCGGACGTACCACCACTACAAACCGGAAGTCCCACCACTACAGATCGGATTTACCATCACTACAGAACGAAAGTCCCGCCACTACAGACCGGAAGTTCCACCACTACAGACCGGAGGTCCCTCCACTACATACCGGAAGTACCATCACTACATACCGGAAGTACCACCACTACACACCGGAAGTACCCACCACTACCTGCGTCCCGGGTATGATGTCGGATCCCTGAATCTGATGCTCCAGTCGGCAACTGTCGGCATCATACAGAGATATTCCCCAGTCGTGAAACAGCATCAGCTGACGCGAGGGTCGACCCGAGTCGCTTCCTGTGGGTCGAGGGAAAGAAGGGGGGAAGTCAGGGAGAGTGGTATATAGGAAAAACAGGGAACAGGGGAAAAGAACATGGGGTGAATATAAAAGGTGATAAACAAGCAAGCATTTTTTGAAACAGGAGACACGGAAGAGCCCATAAAAGAATGGAGCAACGGAACGCACAGCACGTAGTACCTAAAGCGAGAAGAAGAAAAAAGTAAAGACAGAATGTGTCAGTTGAGGGAAAACAGGAAAGATGGAAGAGAGAGGTATTGGAGGTTAGGAAAATCATCAAAAGAACATGTCAAGCGCGAAAGATTGTATGAAGAGCTACTCACCCTTTTCATCTGTCACAACTATTCCTCCAGGCTTTCTGACACTCTTTCTTTCCTTTCTGCTCTGTTTGACACTTTTTTCCTCTGCTGACACATTTCTCCCTCTCTTTCGCGCACTCTCTCCCTTTCCTTCTCTTTCTCCTTCACATTTTTCGTCTCTCTTTAACCCAGTCCTCCCCTGTCCGACCCTTCCCTTACATCTGTCCGACCTCCTCTTTCTCCTCCTTCTAACTCAGTCTTCCCCTCTACCTCATCCCACACTCCTTTCTTTATCTAACCGTCATCCTCTCTCTACCCCGACATTTTCTATTACTCCTAGACATAGACATAGACTAGACATAGACTAGACATAGACTCCTCACCATGCCTCTGCTGATGATGCTCCTCCTCCTGTTGAACCAGAAGACTGCTCACAGACCTCGAACGACCCGCCGGACTACTGGCCTCACACATATATGCGCCTGTATCACTGACGCTCAGTGGACCAATCACAAGCCGACTTCCGTCACCAATGACGTCATATCGGCCCGGCTGACGAATCAGCTGCGCCTCGTTCTTGAGCCAGGAGATCTGTCGGAAGGGAGAGGGGCAGATTACTTTGAGGAACCATGAAGTATCTACAAGATGTAACGAAGCAGTAAAAAAGATAAGAGCACATCAACATAACGTGAATCGTGATGTTTGTTTTCCCAGAGGAAGTGAATTTTTGGCTGAAACCCGATGTGGTGTTTATGTTAACAATAGAATGATTTTCTCCCTTCATGGTATTTTAATATATTGTCGTTTTCTATATATTTCTCCCTTCAGTCAGCGTTTGTCGGAAAAGATAAAGTTGTTTGTCTGACGGCTGAGTTGTTATAATTATCGCATAAGTTACTAAATGTTCACAAGGGAAATGATATTTCTCATCAAAGAAAACTTGTCTCGCCCGAGGAAGTTGAGATCAGATGATGGACCGATAATGATCCAGTGACCAAGGGTAAGCATCATCATTCGAAGTATATTGACTTTTGAATAAGATATTTATAGTCCCAGAAAATAATCCAAAAAGTAAGCATTAGTATCGAGGAAATTTTGTCTCACACATCACAATGCATGTCTCACTTGAGACAGCGTATGCCTCACCTGAGGTGGAGGCACTCCGTCCACGTGGCACTCAATGGAGGCCAGCTGACCGACTCCTTTGGTCTGGAGACGGACACTGACCTCAGAGGTCGGCGGGGCTGCGCAGAGGTCACACACAGGTCACACTCGTCCCCAAGGATGCTGAGGTCATCGACAGGTCATCGACACGGCGTTGATAGCTACATTCATAGCAAGGGAAGCACTGTCTTATTGATTGATATGGATAAATGCAATGAGGTAGTGAACAACAATAAACATAATATTCCAGGTAACCACACTACACGATAGCAGTACATGTTACAAAAACAACTTATAGCATGTCATCCTTTAGAAAGATATATTACATCGTTTCAGTGAAATGGAATGTGGAAAAGGTACCATAAATAAGCTGGCAAATAAGTACGGTACGCATTACGCAAACTACCCAGGGTGATCGATCTCAAATTCACAAACAGTATGTATACAAAATGTACGCTTACAACACCGCAACTCAAATACGCATGCTGTAGTCGTACTTTCCAACGTACGTAGATTTTTCTTACCTTGTATGGTAAGCACATGTGTCTGCTGCACTTCCACATTCTGTTCGGCATGACACGTATAATTTCCGGCGTGAATCAGAGTCACGTGGCTGAGATATAAGGAGCCATCGGCGAACACGCGTAGAGAGTCTGCTTCAGAGAGATGAGAGAGGTCACGACCCGACCTGTGAAAGGTCAGGGAAGGTCAGAGAAGGTCACGTAACGATCTGTGAAGGACCAGGAAAGGTCAGAGGAGGTCACGGGTGGATCTGCAAAAGGTCAGGGAAGGTCAGAAGAGGTCACGTAACGATCTGCAAAAGGCCAGGAGAGATCAGGGTAGATCACGGTATAATTGACATCAGCCATTGATATTGATTGGTGCTTAGGACTAAGTGGCAATTATAAAGTTCTACCATTGATGAAATAATCGCAATACGATAAAGGTTTTGGATTGACTTAGTGAAATATTCGCAATATGATTGACTGACAGATTACTCCTCTTCCTCTGATTGGCTGCGACATTAATCTCTCCTCTCTGATTGGCCAGCAAATCCGCTTCTTGTCCCCTGATTGGTTGACGCACCTTTTCCAGATGACTCGCGGCGCGGGCGATCCTGTGACGTCACATTTAATTTCCACATTATCTCCGACGAAGGCAGAGAGGTTGTTGACCTCTAGAGCCTTGTCGAGGGAGACCATTGCGATGCCTGTGAACGAGAAGTGTACGATTATTGATGGAAGTGATGCTGACGTCATTGGTGTAAGTTCAGCAAATTGAGTTCACTTAGTGATAACCCGCGCCCCACTGGGGGGGGGGGGGCTATTCATAGCCCCCCTCCCGTTTTTCTGCAATAACTTCCAAACCACTTGACGTATCGACGCCAAACTTTCAGTACCTTCGGCTGCATCAATTTGACACCTTGTGTCAAAATTTGAACTTAGTAGCTACCATAGGCCGGCCGAAAATGACGTCAGAGTGACGTCATGTTCGGCCGATTTCGACGCAAAACATTGAACCACGGCAATCGCTCTCAAGAGCTCAGTTTTTAACCCTCGCCGGACCTACAGGGGTGTGCGCTAGAATCCGGAAAAAAATGTAAGGGAAAGAACTTCAGGGTTTATTTGGTATCGCAAGATTTCCCTTCAAAATTTTTACTTTTATAGCGAAGACTGATCCCTCCTCTGTACTGTCACTCGACTTAGCACCCTCCAGCTCCAATCACAGCCTCTACAGGACGCCGGAACCTGCCGCAGGCGTTGGTGACCTGCTCCCGGGTTAAGTTGACCGCGGCCTGGATGATGGCGGTCCCCAGGGAGTCGAAAGTGTTGTGAGGTCGTTTGTTGGACTCTCTCTCAAGGACGCCCCAGAGAAAGTGGTCGCACGGACACAGAAAATCTTCTGGTCGGGAAAGAAGCTGCTCTGGCCGGTGGCTCTGTGCTCCAAAGAAGTGATGATCAGCTAACATCTCCGAATCTCCTGGTCTTTATGACTTCTGAGAGCATCTGTCTCACCTGAAGAACGTAGCTCCTGTATCGGAGATTCTCGTGAATGGCACGAAGAACTGTTACCCTGCGCAGATTGAGCCTCGAAGTCACCTTCTGCATGGGCAGGCTCGGACCTTCTCCAATCATGGCCTCGAGCTGCTCCAAGAAGTCCTTATTCCGCTTCCAAACCTCGAATCGGTCCTGTTCCTTCCTCTTAGGAGTCAGAGACTCACTCATCGTCTCTTCAGACTCTTTGAAGGACTTTGCAAGGTCGTACACGGCCGATTTCGGGAACTGAAAGAAGTCCACAATTTCCTTGGGCGCGCGGCCGCAACGGAGGGCCACAATAACCGAGGTGCGGCGCTCGAGCTAAGAGGATATTTCTACTTATTTTGTTTCCGATCGAAGGCGACTGAAGTCACAAACCTATGAAGAAAAGAAGAATGATATATTCAAAAAAGTTTATACGATACGCCAATTTAAAGTTTTTCCGGATTCTAGCGCACACCCCTGTATTGGTTTTCTACATACGCGCCGGCCGAGGGGGGGGGGGGGCGGGTACGACCCCCCCTCGCCGTTTCGCCCCTGGTGGAGCTAGCGCGTCGCGGAAAAAAAAACGAGCGTGTGCGCCGTTACGAGACGCAGAGATTGGTACCCGATTTTAAGGTCCTAGGTCAACCGGTGACCTCTGAGGTCAGGTCAAGTGCCCCAAGGTACGGTTCAGTTTTTGGTGACTAACTTCGCAAAAAACGGCCGCAGAGCGCCGATTTTGGCAGCATCGTGTTTGCCTCGCTCAGGCGCGTCGAATGATATACTTTTTGTCCGGGTCAGGTCAACTTGGGGTGTTGACCTCAGGTCAAGGTCAGGTCAGCACCCCCAGGTCACGAAGTTGGCCGAAAGAGGTCATGTCGTATATCATTCGATTCGGCAGGTCTTCCTGAGTCCATTGGTGGTTTTCTCGACTCGCTAGCTCAATTTGATCAAGAGTTATTGACGAAAAACTAATATGACCTTGATGACGTCATAAATGACGTCACGCAAGGTCAAAATTGCAAAAGTGACGCATCTAACCTTGCAAGGAGTGCATCAAATCACGATTCTGTGTGCTTGAGATAGTTGGAGATCGTTCCCGGCGCCAGAATAGCAGTTTGAATTTTTCCCCATTGACTTATAATGGTGAGGTCACAAAAATGACCTGACCTCATATGACCTTTAGGGAAAATCCGAGATATACAAGTTGTGACACTCATAATGGATACTAGATCCTGCAAGTTTCATTTCCCTGTGACATCTCCTCTGGCAGTGAGGGCGTTGCGAAGTTGCGACATCTGAAGACCGTGCAGAGGTTCACTTATGACGTCATAGGTCAGTGACCTGACCTGACTCAAAAATCCGGTTGGTGTCAAAAGATCCGGCTTGAATCAAAGGTCAGGTATGCCAAGTTTCAGCTCTCTATCGCCAGCGTGCTCGGAGCTATCGCGAAAAAACCCTATGGGGGGGCGGCACCCGCCCCCCTCGGCCGGCGAGGGTTAAGCTAGATCCAACTTCTTTGCATTAAGGGTTCAGAATTGACTGCGCTATCAAACTGCTATCTCGGCTTTTCAAAATTTTGCAAATTTCGAAAATTTTATATAATAATATTCAAAATTTATATTCTTATACTTTTTTCAAAAAGTTTTTGACTTTTCGAAAAAAAAACGGTATATGTGACAGAACGCATGCTTATGACTAACAGTAGAAAGTTTTAGGTAAATATCTTCAAAAATGGCCAAGTTATACGCATTATTGCAAAAAATCTCAATTATAATTTTTTTTTCAAATCAATTTTTCAGTACGTATTTGACATCATTCACCATTATAAATAGCACCATCGTGTTTCTGAGGTCAAACTGCATCAAATAGACACCTTTTTTGTTCAAAAATTTAAACTTAAAAATTTGACCTTTTTGGCCTGAAAGTGACCTAACCTAAGCTAAATTCGACTCAAAATGACCTCGAATGACACAGACGACATCAAATTGGAAATCTGTGGCCTAAATTGACCATAAAACATGTGTCATGTGACCGACGCATGATATAATATTTCCGTGGCCTGTGATGACCTGACCCTGACCTGAAAATCACAGTACAAGTTTGGTACCCTCAAGGTATCTAAAGCATCTGTTCACGAGTGTGTCACGTGGCTTGTAAGACGACGGCCAGAGCCCAAAATGTGAACAAGCCGAAATGCTAATAATTTTTACTTTGACCTGACCTGTGACGTCATCGGTGACCTCGAGGTCAATGAAATTAGGTTTCGCTCGATAGTTTTTCCGGGGCTATCAGACACCGTTTGAATTTTGACGATCGGCCCAGTAGTTTCGGAGTTAGGAGGGGGGGGGGCTATGGAGAGCCCCCACCAGTAGGGCATGTTATACGCAAACCCCAGTGGGGCGCGGGCTAATGGCGTAACTAATAAAAAAGCCAAGAGTGTGTGTTTGGAATCTTGAAATTAGGTTTCACTACATCACTAAAATGCATCGACAGTGAGGTCACATGACAAGAATGACAAAAATGTCACATCATGAGTTTTGATTGACGTCACTTGACGGCTGCCGCCATTTTAACATCAGCAGAGGCACACCACACAGGCGGCTAGTGCTAGTGACAGTCTTTTGCAATGGACGTATCAATGGCTAACATTGATAAAAATCTCATTTTCATATGCTTTCTAGCAAAATGATAACTTAGAAGCCACGTTTTACCGTTTGCATTGGTCTTACTCCTGGGTTTCACCAGCTACGCTGTGGAAACTCAGCATGGATTGTATTATAAGGTCCTGCAAAGTACACTCACTGTAGAGCTTGTTGAAGGCCGTGTAGAACTCGTTGATGTCCAACCCGCCGTCACCACTGGTGTCGTCAAAGTGGGCGAGGTCGGTGAGGTCACAGCCGGGGGTCAGTCCGGCCAGCTGATACCGCTTTGTAGCCTAAGGGCGGAGAGGACGGGTCAGAGTTCACGCAGGATGCAACGTAAGCATATGGGATGACGATGACTTCAGTTGACACCTAAAAATCACAAACATAAAATGATTGCCTGCATCGTCCCTAGGAGTTAGAAGAAGGGAAGTTTACATTTCAAAAACAATAACATAAGGCGAATTTAACCCGCGCCCCGTAGGGGGGGGGGGGGCCGAAACGGCCCCCCCTGTCCTTTTCGGTCGATATCTCCTAAACGGCTGGAGATATCGCCACCAATCTTTCAGGACCCCTCCGGGCATCAATTTGACACATTGTGACCAAAAAATTTTTCCAGAGGCTATGATAGGTTGGCCACAAATGACGTCAGAGTGACGTCATGTTCTGTCATTTTCGACCGAAAAAAAGACCTTCGCGAGAAGACCTGTCAGGACTACAGCTTTGAAGATACAGAAAAATGATCAACATAAAAGGTGTAGAATTGACAGGACTACAAAACTGCTATCTCGAATTTTTGAAATTTTTGAATTTTGACCCCCAAAAATCAAAAAAGCATTTTTTTGGATATATTCGCCAAAAAATCCAAAAAGTTTTTTGAGTTTCGAAAAAACCGGAATATATGTGATAGTGCCTACCGTCTTCTATCTACATATCAAATTTCAGATCGATACCTCGTTTTTTGGCCAAGTTATAGCGAAAAAACTGTTCAAAAATGATGACGTCAAATTTTCAAACTCAATTTTTGGCAATTCTAGAACTCGTAGAGCAAAACGAAGACCACCATTAGACTCCCCGTGACGAGCTGCATCGAATCGATACCCATTTTATGCAAAAATATCAACTTTGAAATTTGACCTAATTTGACCTGACCTTGACCTGACCTTCACAAAAACGTGACCTAGGCTGGCCCCAAAGGCTGCCTAACCCACATAATCGCATTTGTCATGTAAAATGGACCATAAAACATGTATCACACGACACATTCATATTGTGACCCCCGGTGACCTGACCTCGCTGTGACCTGACCTGGTACCAGTGACCTCAGATAGCAAAGTATGTGTTTGACGAACAATGTACCATCGATGGTTTTCAATAAATTACCAATTTACTCGCTTTCACAGCACATTTCTTGAATTGCCTGTGAACGGTGAAAATCTGACCTTTGACCTGACCTGTGACGTCATCGGTTTGACCTAGTTCAATGAAATTTGGTCACAAGGTAGTTCCCGGCTGGGGCTATCGAACGCCGTTTGAATTTTGAAAATCGGCCGGTAACTTTCCGAGATCTTAGGGGGGGCGAAACGGCCCCCCCCCCTACGGGTGGTAGGGTCCGCCGGTAGCCCTACGGGGCGCGGGTTAAGGACATGAGAGGGGAAATAATAGTCGCATCATACAGACATGAAATAGCTGTAGCTTTGAACCTCACCTCACCCTGAGCTAACCCTATCCCCGACTTGACCTGACTGACTCTGACCTGACCCTGACCCTGACCTGACCCTGACCTGACCTGACCTGACCTGACCCTGACCCGACCCTGACCTGACCCTGACCTGACCCTGACCTGACCCTGACCTGACCCTGACCTGACCCTGACCTGACCCTGACCTGACCCTGGGCCTGACCCTAACCCTGACCTGACCCGACCCTGACCTGACCCTGACCTGACCCTGACCTGACCCTGACCTGACCCTGACCTGACCCTGACCTGACCCTGACCTGACCCTGACCTGACCCTAACCCTGACTTGACCTGACCCAGACCTGACCCTGACCTCATTGAGCTCGTCGAGACGCAACTGTCCATCGTTGTTGAGGTCATATTGGCTGAACATTCGACTGATGGTATATTCCCGACCAATGGCGTGTCCAGAAGGCAGCTCTCGCTCCAGTTGACCGCGGCTGTAGGCCAGAAGTGTGTCCTGCAACAGATCACAACGTCCAAATGTTCACAACGTACAAATGATCGCAACATCCAACTGGGAGAAAGTCGAAAGGGTCACATGGGGGACATGGTTGGAACGTCCTTTATAAAACGTGAAAACGATTGAATTTGACATTGACAAGCAAATACAAAGGTATAATAAGTTCAACAATTACTAACGTGAAGTATAGGTAAGTACTACCAGAAATAGCGACCTTTTTAAATTTAAATATGTGAAAATGATCAATAACATGGCAGAAATGTAAAACTTTTATTGTAAAATAGGCCAAATATGAGAATAAATAATATGAGAATAATAAAATATGAGAATAATAATTCTCATATTTGGCCTATTTTACAATAAAAGTTTTACATTTCTGCCATGTTATTGATCATTTTCACATATTTATATCTATTCATCATGGCAAAAAGCACCATCTCACATATCAAAACTTTTTAAATTTACTTATTCTAAGAAATGATCACCATGAGTGAGTAATTTAATCGGGATATGTATTCTTATGACAAATTTTACCACTGTTTCTAACTGGATCACCCGTCCTACACACCTATAAAACGTTCACAATGTGCGTTGTGAAATATTCAATATATACGCTACCTTCATCTTTTGAAATTGCTGCAGAGAGCAGATGTGGTCGCCCCTGATCTCAGTGACGTCATCTGGCGTGGTGACGTCATCATTAGAAGCGGCAGAGCTGTTGGTGCCGAGCCCGCTTGGTTCTCTGGGAGTGGACGATGACGTCACAGATGACGTTACGGATGACGTCACCGTGACGTTGACTGGGCTGTGGACCGGTGGCGTTCCAGTTTGCCCGCTGATGACGTCATGATGTTCTAATGTCTTCGCTGAATCAGCTTCGGCCTTGGAAGATTCGTCTGCAATAATAATAACTCATGAGAGTCGATATTTGTGTCAGTTTATTGTACTCACCTAAACTAAACAAAAGGATACCTACGTCTTAGTTACGAGGGTTAAATAAATTATTTCAAACCATTGTGTTAGTGATGCATCTTGTCCACTTTGTACGAGTAGCAGTTCTGAATGGACATTATTTTTTGCGGAACTTTGAATGTTTTTATTTTGATACTTCGGCGTGCATTTCTGTTCAATAAGAGTTTATAATCTTGCACTGCTGCGCTACGGCCCTTCTGAAACACCTCAAGTTCGTGTTGTGTGCCATTGGAGGTTATGACTTTGTACGGACCGTTCAGTGGTAGACACTTCTCCATCTTCCTGGGACCAATGTGTCGACCGTCCAAACACGCTCTCCGATGAAGATGACAATGGTTGGGGTAGATCATACCGTCCGAGCCGCAGACCTGTCGAAGGTCAGGTCACACGTCAGGTTCAGGTCAGTGGCTGGGGTAGATCAATGGTCATACCATCCGAGCCGCAGACCTGGGAAGAGGTCAGGTCACAGGTCACGTCACAGGCCAGGTAACAGGTCATGTCACAAGTCGGGCCACAGGTAAGGACACTTCTCACTGAGAGATTTTAATGAGTGATACATAAAGCGTTTCCAATCAGGCCGAAAGTATATCGTATTTTACTTGAATAACAACTGCTTATAACAACTGATGCTGTTTATTTAGTATCATGTAGGTTACTACTGGTTTGTACTGGTTTATACTACTGGTTTATACCGGTTAACACAGCGGTACGCACCGGTTTGTACCGGTCCGGACACTGGTTCACACAGACACAGATTGCTCCTGATTCAGTCTCCTGGCACGTTCGACCTCTTCCGCAGCTCAGCTCCAGACACGTCCCTGAAAATAGCGATACAGGGTCAGGTCAGGGTCAGGTCAGGGTCAGGTCGGGGTCAGATCAGGATCAGATCAGGGTCAGGTCAGGATCAGGGTCAGGGTCAGGGTCAGGTCAGGGACAGGTATGGGTCATGGTAATTGGTAGGGTTGATATACAAATACACAAACCAAGTATTTCTTGATTTGATCATATACATTGGTTATTGACTGACCACTTCAATTTGCCATATTTACACGTGGCAAATAATAACCACTAACCATATATGGCTACTTACTACCCAAAATATAAGCAATCTTCGGTAATTCATGGTAAAATGAAATAGTTGCGTGTTTACATTACTAAGAAAAAGCTCATTAAGTTATTTATAACCACCTTCACTGTATTCATGCCGAACACCCAGACGTCTCACCTCCGTCGTCGACAAACTGATGATCAGAGTCCTCTGAGATGCCTTCGGTTTGCTGCAAACTATTTCTGCGGTGTGTTTGTGCCTGAAAACGGACGATATATTTCAGCCATACGATAGAAAAGCAGGTGCTGAAATGGAAAGATATAATAATTCGTATAGAAATTCAAAATCAATATGGGAATAAGTATGTACCAATAACTCGCAAACAAAATTGATAATCGTCATGGAGAAAAATGATGAAAAAGCAACACTTTAACGAAGACGCAAAATTTTTAGATGATCTCAAAGCATATACAAAGTACCTACACCATGCAATCCCAATAACGTTAGCGGCATTTCAAGTTACGCGAAAATAGTTTCAGAGTGTTGTATCGCCGCTTATCTTGCGACTGTTGAACTGCGTCCGTTACAAAAAAACCTGTAGTAAGTTCGAGGCGTTTGATACCAACCTGCAAATCAAAGCAAAATCTGCAGGTATGCACCTAAGCTAGTTGTTAGATCGAATAAAGAGAACAATAGGCAGAATAAATTTGAAAAGGCGATTCTCTCTGTTCTAACACATCTTAGAAATTTTTGTGAAACCTTTTAAGGCTCTTCCGAGGTAAACTTAAGTTGACAGGCCCTGTTTGGCTTCTCAGAAGCCAGTAAATAGTCTCGTAGTGTCGAAGCTGAAGGAAGTCAAATCGAGGCGAGGAGTGAGGTCAGCAATTTGGTTTTCAAAACCGATTTTATCTACCGTCCTATGGACTGCTAAGAGCTTTTTCATGGTCAGTGACATAGAGCAAACCTAATTGTGGCTAAACAATAAAAGAGCATCAACATGCTTATAGTTAAATTACTTGCTTGCACACCTTGTGAGGTTGTTGAGGGCCTTGGCAACAGAAGGACGTTTTTACTGTTCTCATACGTCCTGTTTGTGATGTCCAGTGCTATGCAATGCATGAATATGGTCTATTGAATACTGTAACATATGAATATTGTAAATTATGACTTGCAGTGTGATATTTTTGACGCTGTCTTCATTTGCTGGGTTTTAAATGCATGCCATATTTTGCGATATGTTTGTAGTGCCCTGTTTGTGACGCCATATTTGTGACATGTTTGTCGGACCTCAACTCACCTGTTTTGTGTCAGTGTGTCAAGACTGTATCATGTCGATATGTCATTCTGAGCCCGAACTGGAAGTGGCCGTCACTTCCGTTGCGCACGCGACATTGCTGTCCACTATTCAGCGCTATGCGGAGGGGTTACTGCAGGGAAGGGTAACTGTGGGGGTGGGGAGGGGAACTGGGTGAGGGGAGGATAGGGGAGGGGAAGTGGCACCTGGGCGTTAGGGCACTTTGACAAACGGCGCGGTTGCACGGTTGAAGGCCGGTCTGTGAAATGTGACATTTGGAGTATGGCAGGTGTTGTGTTGTCGAGTTGCATTACCGTGAATTATGATGGTTGAAATACAGGGTGATTGTAAATACACGCTGTATGTCGAAATGTATGTCGAAACCTGTGGAAGAGTTGCCGTCTCAAGGTTGCTTTAAAAATTGTCGTGAAAATGGAAAAGCTAAAAATGATGTCAAATTTGAGAAATCATAATTTATTTAGATCAGAATTTAGACGGTCCCGTAGCTCAGTTGGTTAGAGCGTTGGACTCCGCGTGGTGAGAGCACGCGTTCCCGGTTATGACAGTCCGGGTTCGAAGAGCAATGGGCGCTCGACATTTATGGGCCTCCTGACAGGTATGGTTGCGGTTGGTGGCAGGCCGTAGCCAGGCGAAGTCAGCGAGGGGACCGGCCGTGCGCGGCTTTGTGCGCACGTTAAACTTTGGACTCTAAATTCTGCCATACACTGTAAAAAATGCTAACAAACCAGTTAGTTAATTCTTCAAGCAAAATCTAGTATTAAAACACACGTTGTTGCAAAAAACGGGTCAGGTAACACATATGTTTGCAACCTAACACCACATCCATTTCATCGAAGCAGAAAAGCTAACATCATTGTAAGCCGACAAATATTATCCGTGCAAACCATGCCGTGTTATTTGACAAACATGTTTGTTTATGCTTCCTTTGCCTTTTTTTCTGGGTAACGTGTTAACTAACAAATCAAACGCATGTTGTTACTCACAATCTTAGTTTTCTTACTACTCTTTTTGTTGTAGCATTACAAAGACCTTAGTTAATTGAAAAAATCGCCATTTTGTGCGCCCCTCTGCGCCCGCCATTGTTCAGTCTGTGCCAAGTCAGAGAATGGGAGAGGACGCGTGCGTTGTGAAGGAGCTGAGCTGTGGCGTATAAGTGTTGCGTGTGCAGTATAAGGAGCTGCTGTGGTGATGCAGAAGTGGTGATACTGTGGTGATACATAACCCGAATAAGAATAATAAGAAGTCAAACAGTGAAATGATATGGATTGTTGGACATGGCTTTCATCCTTACTGGTATGGTGAGTGATTATGGGAAAGATCAGTGGAGATATTGCTGGCGTTTTAGTGTGGTTTATGTATGTCACTCATTTTCTTTTCAAATGAAGCTCCAACCAGGCTTTAGAGGGTCTCAGGTTGGAAACACTGTTCATTTGTTGACTGTCAATTGACGTCTATAAGTACATATGACGGACTGAACAATGAGCATGTTGCACACTAAAACCGCATTAAGCTTTGAACAAGAAATTAAATGTACCTAATTTTTGGTTGGGCACTCAACCAGTGAACGCGGTGAGGTGCTGTTTTATGCAATTCCTGTCACTGCAGCCATGTTGTCAAATATTTTTTTTTTTGTAGACACATGAGCCACCATTGTTCGGTCAGGGAATTTTTGCCCTTTTGTTGCAATTTAGTTTGCCCATATCGACAGAAATGAAGCATTCTCAATGTTTTCGTAATAGGTATTTGGAGCCTGTATGGTGTCATGGCTGGTGCGGATTCCTGCAGGCTATATATAGTTGCAGGTGTGAATCAGTGCAGATTTGTCACCACGACCGTTGCAGATTACCGACTGATTTATGACGTTGGTTGGCATGATGAGGTTGGTTGCGTTGCTTTATACGTTGGTTTGAATAAACATCTTTGTATTTAAATACTCGTCTGTATGATACTTTTTTTTAACCCTCGCCGGCCGAGGGGGGGGGGGGCGGGTGCCGCCCCCCCATAGGGTTTTTTCGCGATAGCTCCGAACACGCTGGCGATAGAGAGCTGAAACTTGGCATACCTGACCTTTGATCCAAGCCGCATCTTTTGACACCAACCGCATTTTTGGGTCAGGTCAGGTCACTGACCTATGACGTCATAAGTGAACCTCTGCACGGTCTTCAGATGTCGCAACTTCGCAACGCCCTCACTGCCAGAGGAGATGTCACAGGGAAATGAAACTTGCAGGATCTAGTATCCATTATGAGTCCCACAACTTGTATATCTCGGATTTTTCCTAAAGGTCATATGAGGTCAGGTCATTTTCGTGACCTCACCATTATAAGTCAATGGGGAAAAATTCAAACTGCTATTCTGGCGCCGGGAACGATCTCCAACTATCTCAAGCACACAGAATCGTGATTTGATGCACTCCTTGCAAGGTTAGATGCGTCACTTTTGCAATGTTGACCTTGCGTGACGTCATTTATGACGTCATCAAGGTCATATTAGTTTTTCGTCAATAACTCTTGATCAAATTGAGCTAGCGAGTCGGGAAAGCCACGAATGGACTCCGGAAGACCTGCCGAATCGAATGATATGCGACATGACCTCTTTCGACCAACTTCGTGACCTGGGGGTTCTGACCTGACCTTGACCTGAGGTCAACACCCCAAGTTGACCTGACCCGGACAAAAAGTATATCATTCGACGCGCCTGAGCGAGACGAACACGATGCTGCCAAAATCGGCGCTCTGCGGCCGTTTTTTGCGAAGTTATTCACCAAAAACTGAACCGTACCTTGGGGCACTTGACCTGACCTCAGAGGTCACCGGTTGACCTAGGACCTTAAAATCGGGTACCAATCTCTGCGTCTCGTAACGGCGCACACGCTCGTTTTTTCCGCGACGCGCTAGCTCCACCAGGGGCGAAACGGCGAGGGGGGGGTCGTACCCGCCCCCCCCCCTCGGCCGGCGCGTATGTAGAAAACCAATAGGTCCGGCGAGGGTTAAATAAAAATTTCGACGCGTGTCGCAACACGGTGTGTGAAAACGCACAACATGTATATTAGGGTGGCACTTAGCAATGGGGTGAATTTTATGTTTTGCGATTTTTAGGCGTGCGGGTAGTTTTCTGGTTCCATTCCCGTAAAAAATAATGTGTGCAAAATGATTTTGAAAAATATTGATATTTAGGGGTCGCGAATTGAGGTCAAAGTTGACATTTTTTCGGAAAAAATCAACTTTTTGGAAACTGCTTTAAACCTATTTGGAATGACATATGTGGTCATTAAGCGTCATTTCCGACGTATTTTGACCTTTATTTGTATAACAATTGTTTATCCCATCACTTCCGGCCGATCGTAGCCAGTCTAGGTCAGGCCAAGACAGGTCTGATCTGTGCTGCTTTACCCATGTCAGGCCTGTTTTGGCCTGCGACCGGTGCCTTCTCACAGTGGAGGTCATTTCCTCCATATATCCTCTGATTATCCATCCTCTGATTAGTCATATCATATCTGATGGTCATATCATCATCATCATCATCATTTATTTCGTTTGGAAGCTCCATGCACTCACGGCTTTTCAGTCCAAGTGTCATACAGTAAATAGGTAGGCACATATATAAAGCTAAAATAAACACTAAAGCTAAAAGTAAAAACCATGAAAAGCATGGGACTTAAAAAGTAAAATGCATATCGGTACAAATGACCGGAAGCTACGCGCACAGTGACTAGTCACCATTGAGTAATCGTCGACAACGCCTGCGACAAGTGGCCGACGTGCGTGACGACCGAATGTCTGCTGGCAGCGAGTTCCAAACGTCACAGGCGCGGTAATACAAGAACTTGCGAGCATGTTCGGTGCGGACCCTCGGCAGTTCGAGCTGCATATTCTCAGTGGCTCGAGTCTGTCTGCTCGACACGTCGCTGCGTTGTACAAACCGCTCAGAGAGGCACTTCGGTG